TTGTAACAGAGAATGAACAGTTCTGATAAATTTCTTAGAGGGGAAAACAGGGAGAATCTTCCCCCTAAGAGGGGGACAACAGCCATTGTTGTCATATTCTATTTTGGCTTTCCTTGGTTAAAGAGTCTCAGAAGTATAATTGGGTTTATCCTTAAAACAACCCCCATAGCAAAAAAAAAAACCAAAAAAACCCCAAAAAACCCTCTAATTTTGAAATCTTGTGTATCATTAAATAATAGAAAATTAAAATCAGGAATTGCTGCAGAAGTCACTCACACTGTAGATAAGGAGAACATAAATCAGCAGAGAGACTGAGTCTTACAACTTAATGACTAATTAAAAAATACTAGTATGCAATTAAGGAGTGTCCTTTGATAAACATGCTGTACTACATGAGTTAGCTCTATGCAGACACACAGAATTGCAATAATTTATTATTTTTATATCCTAGGCATAAATGCATGGCATGTGTGCGTGTGTATTATATTGATGCAAGATAACATGCAGGGCTTTATGTGTTGCCATTAGAAATGAAAAATCTACTTACTATAAATCAGATAACCCCCTTCCATCTAGGTTTAAACCTTCTCTTTAGCACACCTACTGCCAAGCTGTGGGCAAAAGGCATGGGAGGCATTTCCAGAGGGAAAAGTGGAAGCTAATGAGGAGCAGCCACGTGTCTGCACCCTTGTTGTGAGGTTTTGCAAGGCTCTTGGTCCATGGGATAGGAGTCATTGCAAATGGCAGTGGCACTATTTCTACTGGATAAGGAGTCTTGCTTTTCCAACTTTCTTTTGGTCACCTGAACCATTTTCAAAGTCTTCTAAATGAGACTTATTCCCATTACACACATCCAGCTGCAAACCAAATCCTGCCACTTGCAGCTCCAAAAGTCTTTCCCCACATCCAGCTACTTCTCTCTGTGCCTCAGCTGAAGGCAGATGACAGACACAGCACTACTCACATTTTGGGTTCCTGAGACCAGGATACTCAACCCCACGAATGGCATGAACCAGGTTGCTGAAGAAGACCTAGAACAGAGCAGGTGGGTGATAATAAGATGGATTGATCAGACAAAAGATGAGCAGCAAAGCAACACAAGCTCAACGTGCCATCCCTCAGAGCTTATCTCATTTCTCCTGCAGCCAGGCTGTTTAGATCAGGAATACATTTTCTAAAATTCTCCTCCTTTCTTACTTTCTGGAAGATCCTCCCAGAAATTCTTGGCTGTCTGCAAGCCATGGGGGGGTCTTGGGGTGCCACTCAGGTGGACAAGTGGCTGCGCTCTCGCCTGGAGGCAGCAACCACAGCAGCAAAAAAAAAAAACAGATTTCACGAGAAGAGCAGGGGAGGGAGGGGATGAACAAAAAAAAAGGGAATGTGTTAGTTAACTTCGTGTGGTTGTTCGAGCCACTTCCTGACACCCGAGCGAGTCATCTGAATTTAACACATTTCTCTTTTGCATTTTGCAGCTCACCTTTAAGAGAGCACAAGGCGGAGGAGGTGGGAATATATGGACTTCAGCCCTTCCCATCCGTTTCCCCCTGTTACTTTCAAAGATTTTCTATTTAGAAAGGAAGGCTTTTTTTTTTCCTGCTGTTCATACATTACACATACTTCCCAGCCAAAATATCTTGCTTGTATATTTTTTTAATTTAACCTACATTACTCAAAATTGCTCTAAGAATAATTAAAGAGAATTACTTTCCCTGTCTCTTTGATTTACCTGAGATTTTATTTCTGAAGAGTGTTTTAAGAAAAACCATTAAAAAATTGAGAGATTAACAATTACAGAAAAAAAAACCCAAAACAATCCCACATCCTCCTTCTTGTCTGAATCTAATGAAAATGTTTAAACTGCATGGATATTTATCCTTATGAAAAACATATGAACAAAACAAAACCCCCAGTATTCTGGTGAGATTCTGTAAACAGGACAAAATGTTAACTGCGGAAATATATCATTTAAGACCTTTATTTCCTTCTAGCTCTTTCCAGGCACCAAACGAGCTTTGCATGCAGATTTTGTTTCAGCTGGGTGGAATCATTCTCATAACTATTCTCCAAAGCCTAAGCTCTGAGGTCAGCCCTGCTCTTTCTGCAATGGGATAAACATTAACAAGTGTGACTAACCCATTCCTTGCGCCCTTCTTAAATTTTCCAGAGTGTGTCAGCAAGCATGAAAGCCAGAGATCAAAAAAGGCAAGGGTTTTATTGTTGGAACCGGATGGGAACAGGGATGCAATATAGGCAAAGTCCCAGCACCTCGGAGAAGTTGGTTTATAACAGCACCAATAAAAAATGAAGGAATTACTGGGCTTCAAGAAAATCACCTTGTTCTCCTGCTCAAAAATGAGTCAGTTTTCACTTGACCCCTGCAATAACGTTTTACAAGGGCTGGACCAACTCCCCGGGAGCAAACCTGGCCTTTCCCTGTGGGTCCCAAAAGACCCAGGAGGGGACAGAGGTGGTGGAGAAGGTGTAATATAGCTCAGTGCCTCCTGGGCAGAAGTGACAGGGCTGTGGTGGCCTCAAGGGCTCAGGCTCACTCCTGTTTGTCTCTGCACAGCTTCTGCTTATGAAGTTTCATGGATAATCTTCCCCCCTCCCATGCAATGCATCCTGCTGTGACCCAGCCTGCCCCCTGAGATGGAGTTTGTGAGACCAAGACACATGTGGTTATATCACTCACATGTTTCTAGGAGGGAAACTCTTAGTTTAACAAATCTGATGTTTAATAAAGCACCTCAAGATGCTTATTACAAGTGCAGTTTGATCCATGCAGCAGCAGCAATGCAGAACCCAGTTTGGAGAGGAATTGGGACACAGGAGCCAAGCAGTTTTGTACATAATCAGTTAAGTGACAAGAGAGAAGTGGATTGCATTTCTGGTGAACAGGGCATTGGGAAGGGAGGGAAAGAAACCAGGGAGGGTTGGGAATTTAAAGGCATCTATCACACAGCTTCCCAAAACTGGACAAATCCTGTAGACAGGAGGAGAGCACAGAGCCTCTGTACACACTGCTCATACCAAAAATTTGTCAAAACCAGATTACAGCCCTGAGAATATCCCTGCTCAAAGTCAGGTCTAGTCCTGACAAAGCCAAGGAAAATTAAAAGCCAACTGAAAAAAAACCCCAAACCACCAGAAATGATGAGCAGATGTATTAAATCCTGAAAGAGGTTTTATTCACGTGATCAACCAGAATCTGGGCCCATATGATTCAGAGTTGTTCCCTCATAATGCACAGGCCTCTTGCTTTCCAGAACGTGTTTAATTCTCCTATGCATTCCCTCAAATGAAAGGTATGCCCTACATTTCAGCACCTCTGTTGCATCTACTCCACTGACCCCACAAGAAATCATCTCACTCACTTTGTTTCCACACCTGGCTTTCCTCTCCTCCAGGATGTCAAACTGCAGAGCAGAACACACCCAAGAACATACACTTTTCTCCCTCCATCTCTTGAAGCACTTTAGCTCAAAAACCAGCAATTTTTGAGGTTACTGGATAAGAAAAAAAAGAAAGCACCTGAATTGTGGTCCTGACAGTTCCTGTTCCACAGTCTTGTTCCACCCTGGTGCAGTGATAGCCAGAGTTTCCAAAGGCGTGAAGGGAGCTCGAAAAGAAAGGAGGAAAAGGCAACATTTAGTGATTCCTTATCTCATAGCCTGTGATATCTGCCATGGCTTGACAGAATATGTGAAAACCCCCTGCAGACACTGTACAGGAGAGGTGAGCCTGTCCAGAGGTGACACTAATGAAAGAAAGCCTCATACCCAAACCCTAGATTGAAAGAAAGCCCTTAGGTTTTTCCAGCATAGGAAATATTTGGATTTGGGTTTTTTTATACTCAGTGGCTCCTGATGTCCTAAAAATTCATGTGTGTAAATGCCAGACACCCAGCTGAGTGCGAGGAGAGTCATGAAGGAGCCACCAGCAAATCAGTGCCCACAGTTCTGCCGAGGTCACCATCTCCATGGCACGGCAGTGACATTCCCTGCAGCAATGCCAAGGGAGCCCTGCAGGAGAGACCATAAGGAAAAGTCCCAGGAAACTTTGCAACTTGCATAACTTCTAAACTTTGCCCAATTAAACTGTGGTTCCATTAAACTTTCCTTTATCTGGCAAAGGACTGGCTGAGTTATTATGGGGAACAGCCCCAGGCAATTAAAAGCAAGAGCAACATTACAAATCTACGATTTGGTAGACAAAAATCCTTTGCAAAAGACACAGCTTTACAGAGTTATAGCTTACCCAAATGTGGAAAACCAAATTAAATGAAAAAACATATTGTATATTATCTTAATTTATATATGAGATTTTAGACAGTTCCAGATTTCTGGATTAAATACAATACCATGTGGCTCCATTAAGCCTCACTGGCCTTTTAGAATATTATTGAAAGAAATAATATATAACAGTTTGAAAGGTTTTTGGATGCTTGGTGGCATCATTATGCAATTTATTAATATGTGGGCAGAGTGACTAATGCCTCTGAGGATGTATTTTTAGTTTCAAAAATAAAATTTATAAAAAAGAGAAGTGTGCTGGGGGGGCCAAGAAGGAAAAGCAGCTACAACTGGGTTTGTGCTGGAGGCATGTGATGGCATCCCTCATTCTGTCTGTCCCTCCACACACCCCGTGCCCAGAACAGCCCTTCTCCTTTCACTTATGCCATTCCCAAAGGGGCCAGAGGCTCCAACTATTGCAATTTGGTAGAATTTGGATATTTAGCTTCATTTCTGGCATCTTTCCTCCATTTTTAAGGCTGAAAGGGACAATTCAGATCATCTAGTTTAACGCTCAATATAAATCCCCAAGAAAATAATTTCACACATTCACTCGCTAATTGAGCCTACTACTATATGTTTCACCAGTCATCTGGGCTGGCCTCCAGTTCTGATTTTAAGATGCAAAAGGATGACAAATCCCCTGCCCCCTTCAACAGTCTGCCCCCTCTCCCTTCCCAATCTCTCAATTTTGCCTGTCTTAAATTTCCAGCCATTGCATCTCATTATGTTTTCCCCCTATTAGACCATAAAGCCCTTTTTGTACACAGTATTTTCTCCTCCAAAAGCATTTTCTGCCCAGAGTCAGGGCACTGCTTGATCTGCTTTTTTTTTTTGCTAAGCACACCAAATGGAGCACCTTAAGCCTCTCTCTGCAAGATTTCTTTTTCCAACCCTCAAATCATCCCTGCAAAACTGTACCATAGGTTGAGAGTTTACAGCCTTCATCATGAAGCTGAGTCCCTGAATCTCAGGTTAATAAACTCTCTATTTTTTAATAAGGCTTCTGTGAAATGACCAGAAATAGTCCCACAGGATGTGTTATTTGGAGGTAACTATTTCCACATGGGCTGGAGGTACAGCCCTGGGAGCAAAGCCTGGGGAGAGCAGTAGGAGAGTTCTTTACCCTTTTCTGCAGCCGTTTTTAGCACTCTTCCAAGTTGCATTTCAAAACCCAGGATTTTTCTGGAAAGGCTCATCCTGGTGGACATTTCCTGGACCACTAGGAAGAAGCTGAACAATTTTACCTCCCCATGCACACAGAGAAACCAGCTCCTGAGAAAGTTGCTTCTCTCAGCACAAAACCTTCCCTGTACTCAACGCACTGGGAGCCCCATCTCCATCAGGGGTAGAGGCACTGACAGGTCTTGGCACATCTCAGTTCCCAAACCACTCCTTTCCCAGGCTCAAAGAGATCTAGAAAATCTCTAAGACATCCCCAGAGCCCCTCCTTCCCCAAAATTAATAGGATTAAGAATAAACCCTGGGGTTTTTCTTTCCCTTTTTTTCCCCAGCGTTGGTGTCCATGCTTTGAAGCTGCTTCTTCCCATTCTTAATTGGTTTATTTTCTGCTTATTAAATGACAGTGGAGTTTCACAGGAAGCTTGGCTCTAGATCATTGGAGAAAACTTCCCAATATTGCCAAAAATACAGTGAAATGACAAGACATGGTGAGTTCTAGACAGTCTCCTCAGGCGCCAGAGCTACAGCTCACTGTTCCACAGAATCTGGATGACATAATACTCCACTTTTTCATCCATCCTGTTTGACTTGGATGTGAGATTATACACCAAATGAGGAGTTTGAAAGAAGAGCCAGCTCAGTTCCATTTGGTCTGGCCTTTATATACCCCACAGGGACAAACCTGCTGTTCTGAACTGAGACAAAAAAATTCAGAGTCAATCATAAGTGATAAAATATCTGAGTGAAGTCAGTGCCACTTTTAGACTTGTCTTCTTCACTTGATTTGTTTGACCCTGTTGCTCAGCTTTAC